ATGCTCTACTATGCAAATGAAGTGAAGCGATTCCCAAAGAAAGAACTGATTTTGGTTTGGAGAGATGGGTGGGTAGGTGAGTTGAATTGGCTACACGTTTTCGAGTTTCTAGAGAGAAAGAAGAGACTTTTTCGGGGGGCTGAGAATAGGGATTCGATGGCAAAAAATACAAGATTTGTAGGAATTGAGTTTCATTTTGTTTCATTGTTTGCTTCTTAATCAAATCGACTGTTTTTTTTTTTTTTGTTTATATTATCCTATCTAACCGCAGCGACGTCAGGCCGGGCTAGAAATGAATGAGCAGTTGACACTCAAATCTATCTGCCTATCTGCGCTGTTTCCACTTCGGGCTCATAGCACCTCGCTTCAAAAAACTTACTGCAGTAAATAAAGTTTTTTAAAACGTCTCATGTGGGTCCACCTAAAAAAATGTTCACTATCTTAATTTTTACTTGGGGACCAAGTTTACTCGTCGACTAATTGAAATTACGTACAATATATCTTAAAATTATCTTGAATCTATCTAAATTCATTTGGCTAACTAATCCAGATTCACGTCTAATAAATTTAATAAAGAGGTAAATAAAATAAAGAAATCAATAGTACTCAGTAATATTCATAAAAATTGAAAGATAAAAGTTGAAATACGGGTATGTTTATGTGTATATCTTCCGTAAGAAGTTGTCAATTGAGGCAAAGAAAGAAGGCGCCTATCATTATCACGTTATGGTTAGCGTAATTGTCTTCACATGACATGGTTTCCTTATCATTTGGTCTTTTTCTTAGGCCTACAGGACAGTTAATTAGGTTGATGGAGAAGTTTTTTCTAAATAGAGATACTTACATTGAGAATTTGTATAGCTTGACAGCCACCTTCAAAGACTAGATTTTGAAATAAATGATTTAGTGATAATGTGTCGTACTAATTTCTTTCACTTCTTTTCATTTTTTATTACTTTCAGACTCGTGTTCATTTTCACAGCTTTACAGTAAATTCAATTTAATTTTTACACGTTTCCGGAGATATAAAGATTGATTCGGAAGAATTTGCATTGCAAATGATTAATGTATGATCAAAACTGTGTGATAAATCCCTGTAAGCTTCTTATAAAGAGTTACCCCGTTTCGGATTTCTCTCCTTTCTTTTCGTAGCTGAATCAACCTTAACTCAATTAACTCATGGAGTGCTGCACCTAACCAAAAATTTGCTTGTAGATATGTCTTCTCCTTTACCCTATTTGGGTCTTGAACATATCTTCACCTAAAGGTCTTTTTTTTTTTTTATTATAAATTTCAGCAAAGCTTTCACGTTTTATGTGGAAATTGATTGGCAGATGGATTGATATACGCATGATTCAGATGATTTAATTGACTAATTTATTATCCTCAAATTGTGCCCTATTCAAGCTTATAGAGCAAACACACGATAGTATAACCATTTAGGGCATTAGTTAGATTTAACGATGCTGCTATGGTGGATAAGTCAGTTAGCTATTGTAAGATTGATCGTGGATAGGATTTCAGCAATCATTTGCTTTTTGCAATGAAAAATTGAATATTAAAAGCATTTGAATTTCAACAAAATATCAATATACATTATACTTTTCTTTATGTTTCAAGATGAATACGTTAATTTTTTTTTTTTTTTGTTAATATTTGTTATTATGTAAAGAACAAACGTGTTAGCTGAATCAATAATAATTAGGGAACAGATTATTAATCTACACCGAGCAAACCAAGTAACTGAACAAACCATAAGAGTTGGAAGGAAACTAATTATTCAAGATCGAATAGTGTCTAATTTCGTCTTGAATAAGAGCTAATGCTCGGTCATAGGTGATTAAAAACGTCATATAATTATCAGGATTTCCTACCATTTATATACATAGTCGTTACAATTTGAGATGATTATTGAATATGAATAGTTATTTATTATTTTAGTGAGAACCCTAGCGCGGTAATTGCGGCTTTTTAAATCGGGCTGTAAGGGACAGGCCTTACTATATAAGGACCACAGCAAAACAATTTCACACTGATGATAAATAGGCCCCACATTGAGGCCCATTACTTTTTGATTTATTATAGTAATTTTGCAATTCAGGCATGATAATCAAGTTATGGGCAGCGGACTCGTTTTAATAATCATTGATCAAATGAAGCATTGGCTTTCATACTCATTCATGTTCCTGCTCATTCTACTACAAGTTAGTTATTGATGACACTTCAATTCCTTCCATCTCACAGATAACAAGCAAAAACTACCTCAATAAGCAAAACTAAATTTCTCTTATCGATCGGGAAGTTGGTACAGTTACAGGCTGTCGTTGTACATTCGACAAAAGCGGGGGGCGAGGGAAATCCGTAGGATTTGGTCCGCGTTTAAATGTAGGACACATTCTTCTGTTGTTTAGTCGCATTTGAGTACGAAAACAGTTATGCTTTACTGCTTCTTTTTCATTTCAAACTGTGTGTTATGCACTGTAACTTCATATGCCCCACTAATCATCTTTTTAACAACTACCAATCTTTGTCTGTTTTTGCTCGTATATCCTTTTCCTTTTTTTTAATCAACAATTTCTCTTCAATGTTTACTTCTTTTAGCCTACTTTCTCCCGACAACACTCCATGTATTATTCACGTACGGCTCTTCCCATAATTTGCCAACAACTAAATAACCATTAACATTATTCAAAATAAAGAGAATTGGACAAAAATTGAAATAAATGTGACAGTTTGAATTCGCTAAATTACTTTTTATTTATAGTTTTTCCAAAACGAGAGGTTACAGCCAAGCCCAAATAAGGATTTAATCGATTAAAATTGAGGGGTGAAATTGGAACTTCGAAAAAATGTTTTTCTTAAAAAAAAGTAACCGAGACAAAAAGAAAAGAAGGAATAGTAGCGTGGAGTGAGCAGTACTGACACGTAAAGAAAATGGAAAATATCCACGGACTCCCTGCTCTGCTGCTTGGCTCCTGCTAAGCAAGCAAGATTAAGAATTCAACAAAAGTCGGCAGATTTGGTGTATCTCGTCCCTCTTCTTTGCACGCTCTTCAATTAAAAATAAACTCCAAAACACTAATTTTACCCTTATCCCTCTCCCGCTTCTCGCTTCCCATTAACATTCATTCTGCTCAATTAAAATTTATTCACACCCTCTCTCACTCTCTTCTTTTTCCCCCCTTTCACTCGCTTATCAGTATTACATCCAATTTTCCTGCTCTTAAAGCACCGAAATCATGTCTAAGACATTCTCGTCGTCGGCGTACAGCCACGGACGCCTTTCTCAATTAAACCGAAGACTCGCCCATAGCGCCCGTTCCACATACGCCGTTGCTTTAGGTGATCACACACTCTTTCCAGACTCGTTTCCACTCTCCCTCGACTTGCCGATCTGCTCGCATACACACTGGAGCCGATTCTTTGAGTCAAAGAAACGAATGCTGATCAAGATCTCTGCTGTTCTTGACCGTCGGGATGTTCTTGTTCGCGCAGGACGGCCTCTTCATCTTTGCCGTACGGTTAATGATTGCCTTTGCTGCCCGTGCTTTGGCTGCTGGCAGGTGCTGATTGTCCCTTCAGAATTCTGCTGGTTGGAACCCACCTCCAAGGGCTTTGTGTGCCGGCGCTCTTGAAATTGCTTTCTCATTTTTCACTCCGGCTTCCACACCGCTCCAGCTTGGGCCAAGTGGCGCCGACGGCTGCCACGTGTCATTGCTGTTCTTCGCAGAATGCGAGACTTACATGGAAATTTCTTTCCACTTTCGAAACTGCTCCTGTTATCCCTTTCGTCGGGAAGATCGCTTCCCTCAGATACCTACAAAATATGGAAAGCGCAACGGGAATCTCCGTTGCGGACACTTCCCTAGCCGGCTTGACGGTTTGAAGATTACCGCGCGCTGACCAGAGTTTTTCTCTCCTGGGCGACGGGTACCAAATCCAGCGTTCCTCCAGGTCTTTTGCTTGTGCTCAACCGTGATGATCGCAAGACTCTTTGATGCATTTGAAATGCTGGAGCTCCGATGAGCGAGTCTGCGTTTTCCGGATTCTGCTCACAGGAACGGAGCGTGCTACAGCCTGGAATGGATGTCACAAAAAGCTGAACTGTAGGCAGGACAAACACTGGAGAAGACAAGAAAAGGAACAGAATCAGTTGGAGAGGGAAGGCTAAAGTTTACGAGGTCACACAATGTAGTTTTCAGTTTTCCGGTCGCGCAAAGTTGCCTCATGGAGAAAACGACGTAGCTGGGAGTGAGCAAGTGTTGCCTTTAGAAACTCGGTGAAGACGGACAGTATGATTTTTTAGTGGCTGAGTAATCCAAATTTTGGTTTAACATGACAGCGAGGAGGGCATATAGTTTGTGAGGGAGGGAAGAGAGTGGGTCAACGGTGGGCGAGGAAAGTGTGGACATAATTCCATCATCGGCGATTGTCAGCGGCCGCCCAGAAATCCGGACAGTTATATTAGCACCTGGCGCCGCAAACGAAGGAGAGGAATACGTAAGAAGTCTGAGGCCGTTCAGTTTGGCTAACGGAGCAGTTTCCGTTAAAAAACTTGAGGAGTTTACGCGTTACTCGATATTTGGCCATAAAGCTGAAGGCCGTGAGAAGGATGCGGGATCTCACCACCAAGTTCCGGCGGGGAACGTTATCCGGTAAAGTTAGGGTACGATCAAATTTTATGGAATTTTGGGGACCCACAGTATCGTAATTACGGGAGTGGACCCCTGTTTTTACGTCTCTTTTGGCTCTTTTGATGGTCTAAGCAAAGCAACGAACAAAAAGCATGTGTCTCTGCCTCTGATTCATGATTTAGTTGGAAGAAGCTTTTGTGGGGACCATTGTCTGTGGGTCGAGTCTTTAATCCCACGGTCATAAATTTAGTGGGACCCAAATTTCCTAGGTGCGTGGTTTGGGTCTCACTCGATTGCTTTATAGGACCCCTTTTGAATCCTGATTCTGCCAAGGGCTACAGTGAAAAAAGACGAACCCTTTATTTAACGAAACTATATTCAAATGCGTTTAAATTCTGTGATTTAACGATGGTGATTTGGTGAAATAGGTGGCCGAATTCCGGTGGTTCCTTACCAGTTGAGAGTAGTTATAACATTCACCAAGTTCGTTGGAGCTACAACCACAGAACAATTCTACACGCCACTTTCAATCCTAGACATTTTGTTCATGGAGGGAAGAGTAGAATCATCAGAGGATGATCAAAATCAGATATCATTATCATCGTGCCGTCCTGTTCTTCATCTTCATATACGTCGTCGATATTCAACTGGATGGGCTGAGGCGAAATAACAACCAGTCAGTGAAGCAAGCAGCACCATCGTTGTCCTCCTCCAGCCGCGCAGCAGCAAACAACAACAGCAAGTGCGATCCATTCGCTTACTAGTGGGTATACGTGGGACGACGCCGATGATAGTGAAGCAAACTGAAGAAATCTAAGTCGGTAAGGAAATCTAATAATTGTTGCAATCAGGAAACAGCAAAAAAAAAAAAAAAAAAACTATAGGAGGAAATTCAAGAACCAATAGGAAAAGAAAGAAAAGGAAAATGTTAACCTTTGGTTGATCATGATTACTACTGTAGTGCATTGTGGTTTTTGGGTTGCAAGTATAGTTTAGATATTACCATTCTCTTATTCGGTCATTTGGGAGCCTTTGCGATGTGGTCTGGCTACGAGATTTTTTTCCTTTTTTGGGGCAACCTATAAATGATTAGGGAGTGGGGTCCGGATTTACAATTCTCTGCGCACAATTTTATTGATTTTTTTATATAAATGCTCTTTAAATAATTTAGACCACTAACAGTTCTCAATTGGCTAATTCTTGCAATGTTTTTAATCAAATTGATGAGCTTATACCTAAATAAATTTTCTTATAGTTGAGGAGTACAGAATGTCTAAGGATGGAAAGGAAAGAGCAGCTGCTATTGCTTGTTCAGGAGAAACAAATTTTTAAAGATTATGATCTCGAATTCCAAGCTAACGAAAATGGATAAAGCTTTTTGTGATTTTCTCTTTTTTAAAATGTTAATTAATGCCATCAGTTAGAAAGTCGAATTGTACTAATCATCGACCCAAATGGGTTTTCTTGTTGATCTAACCACTGATCCAGCCAAAGCTGCTGCCAATTAAGCCAAAATGGAAATTATCATTATTTGGTTTATTTCATAAGACATGGAAATAACTTATATTGTATCCTTCCACGACACTTATTTAAGGTTTGAAACATTTTTAAACTTGTAGGACCAAGCCGCAAATTTCAACTATTCTACAAAATCTCGGGAAACATCTGAAATTCTTACTTAATGATATTATTTTAATAAAAGAACTGATCGACGATTGGAGTTCATCGTCATAAGCAGGTGCGATGATTTCAGTTGCTTAAAAGATAATAGCAGTTAAATGCTTGGTACTTGAGTTACAAAATTTCTCCAAGGAAAAGGCTTGGAAAATGACACTTTTACCAGAAGTTATTAAAATTTTGAAGGTATATGATTAAACCAATAAACTGATTTTACCATTGTGGCATTACTACCTCTTAAAAATTGCAACACTTCTTCAAATAGTAAATTATTCCAATAAAAAAAAAATCTATGGTTTGTTTTTGATTACCAATGGATTAGAAAGAAATCTTGTGATCAAAAGAGAGTTCCTACATGTAGAAGGAAATGAAAAGCACAGAACACAGATTTCAACCCAAAAGAGGATAAAATACTAAAAAAGCATTATATTTATATGGACATAGCAATTGAAAAACAATTTAAAAAAATGAAGAGAGATTCCAAACATAACCAACATGTTTGCTTCGCAAGAGGGGAAACAGGTGAGTTGGCAAATTCTGCTTTTAAAAAAGTATGGAATTAGGAGGGTAAAGCAGCTCAGGGGGTGGCCCTTCTCTTTTCTATCAGCTTAAGCTCCCTTCTTCCTTCCAGATAGCTCTTAATCATTCACTACTCAAGGTTTCTCAAACTCTCAAGTCTCTGCTAACCTATCACCATACCATGTACTCTCTTTCTCTCTCTCCCCCACTCTTTCTCTGATCTGCTATTTGCTTTGTTTTTATTGAGTTTGTTTATGGATCCTTTTTCTTTTACCTCCAATAAATAGCTTTCTTCTTCTTGTTCTTGGTGGTAAAACTTTCTAGTTCGTGCTTTTTGCAGATTCTAGATTATTCTTAGCTGCCCTTAAAAAATATGTATGTTATAAAACTAAAACGTTCAAATCTCTAGTGGATATGTGCTTAATTCTCAAGTGATCTTTGATTGCAAGAAATTAGCAATGGAAAGGTGTGGCCACCAAGCTGGGCGGATCAAATGGGGATGCAGGAGAGGCATTTGGTGCAATGGCAAGAAGGGACACCACCAACAAGAAAGATTGCAAACAATAACAAGAAGGCAGATTCTAAAGCTGGATTAAATAAAGCCAAAGCAGCAGCATGAGGGAGCACAAGATCAAGATTGGAAGCATCTAACGGTTTCAAATGGGTCAAAATAAATGCCAGAAAAAGGGTTCTCCTAAAGGAAAGAGCACATAAATATTAAACTTTTCCAATTCCTGTTATCGTTTGCAAGTTTTGACAATCCGTTCTTGAATACAGTTTTGGCCTCTAATGACATCATTGCATTACATGGCTATTTAGTGCTATTTCCCTTCTCTTGCCTGCATACACTTTAAATCTTCTTCTGGGATTGTGTAAAGAGATAGGGGGGGGGGGGGGGGGGGGGGGGGGGGGAAGGCTTAGGCTGAACCAAACTCTAATAAAACTAATAGGCTAATCCAAGGCAAACTACAACTCGGGGCCAAATTTCATTATCATTTAAGATTTATTCTTTATTGTTAATCGTAGCAGATAAAACCTTAGCATTCTATCTGTTATCTTTAAACAGACAAGAAGCATCAATAATGGAAAAATAAGATCATTTTATTAGCAATAAAAGCAGTGAAGTTAAACTTCTTCTAGTACCTTAAACGACATAAAATCCTAATAAATAGAACAGCTAAGCTTGTCAGGGCATTAAACTTAAAGGGTTGCTGAGTATTTACATCTTCGAGGTTTCATTAGATAGATTCTATTGCCCTTGATCATATCCAAAGGTATTCTCCCCACTGTAAGTCATGTAAAGGAAACCATCTTCATCCTTGTTTTCCTCGTATATTGCAGACATCAATGCAGCTGCAACAATAAAATTTCATCAATCACAAAATACTACCAATGAACTTCATGGATATTGATTTATTACTGTAACTAACCAGTTGGAGGTAGAGTGTTCTTCACAAACACAAATATAGCCTTTTCAGCTCCGAGCTTAATCCTTTTCCGGACAACATATACAAACTGCCCCACAGTCAAATCAGCTGGCACAAGGTATCTGAATTTACAAAGTAGAGGAAAATTAAAGCCCACTCTGGCATACAGTAGATATTAAATAAAATTTCAGTAGGCAATATCATTCAATCAACTTTAAAATGGAATAAAGGCAAGTGAAAAAACTTCACGCTTACACCTAAGGTTAAATTTTTAGTGGTTCAATTGACAAGCATTGAAAGAAGCCAAATGATTACATCCTCCAATCAACAAAGGGAAAAGTAATCAGCAAATCTCCATATTCAAGTCCATCAGCAAATATTTTATATTAGGCTAATCAACAGTAACATCACAAACAACTGAAAAAAAAAAGAAGCAAAATCCATAGCTTAGCATAAGCCTTCACAATTCCATGCCCTACATTAATAATGAACCCAGCCCCCAAAATCAGCTTAGTGTCCACCATCAACAGTTGTGAACCAACCAGTAGCAGAAGTCCCACCATGGAAATTACAATGCTGCTATCCTATCTAAAGTACATAAACAGTACCTTTAATGTTGTGACAGTCAGCAATGCCATATGCTTTTTCAAAATAAAATAACCAAGACAACTAGAAATAATCGTATGACTAAATGAATATATGATGGCAAGAAATAATTATAGCACTGAATGAACTGCAGAACTAGGAAATGGCTAAAAGTGGCAACTTGATTATGCAACGATAATATGTAAGAGAATGTGAAAAAGGATAGAGTATGAAAGAGAATTCTGTACTAACTTCTTCTTATCAATATCAGGAACATCGCTCCTTTCAGCTTTTTCCACAATTACCTGCATCACATGCCCAGTTGGAAGATAAGCATATTGTATAAACTAAATGGAAGGGACAGAATCTAGCATGCAGAAGTTGAGAAACAGGATATTACGGGTATTCTATCAGGATACTTCTCCCTAATGCGAGCAGCTTCTGCTCGTCTCCTCTCTGAGTTGTAAAACAACTAGTTAGAGACAACATAGATAAGAACATCCTACTAGATTATCAAGAAAAATTCAGAAGGAATAGCTCATGCATATATCTAAAGCAATTGGAAAACAGAGCGGAAGATTGTCTTGAATTTATTTCATCCAATTAATTTCCTCATATGCAGGAAAAAAGAGACAAAAACCAAAAATCTCTTGAATCAACCCGCAGGACTAATTGGCAAGATTGGAGCCTTTATATGCCCAGTCCACCAAAAAAATAATAAGAATAATTAAAACTTGATCATGGTTCACCAAATAAGCCATCCAATTATTGAAGTTCTTTATTTATTTATTTTTTTAAAAAAAAGAATTTTTGCTATTATTTCTGGCATTGCAAAAATTAACGCCAAGTTATACTTATTCATCTATTTATTTGCTTATTTGGGGAAAGCTTTGCCCCATATGCCGATTATCAATCAACCACAAAAACAAGAAAATGAGAACATTCAAAATCAATATTTGACAGAACTGATCAGACCATATATGTGGAATCCAAACTCCAATCATGCGAAAGTCTCGATAAGTTTAAAATAAAAATACAATAAAGAAGAAGAAAAAAAGAGAAGCAAACCCAAAGGATGTTCCAGCTTGAAAGAGCTTTTAGCCATGGCCGCAGTCGAGCTTCGACTACACCTCTCTGTGAATTTGAAACATGGAAACATCAGAACCCCACAAATCCACAGATCCCCACTAATTAATTACTAGGAATAAAAAGGGGAAGAAGCACTATTTCTACAGCGGAAAAATAACGAAAACAACAAGAAAAGCAATTGGATGTATAAAGCTAGAAACTTTCAACATACCTGACAAGAAACGATAGAGAGGGAAAGAATTAGTTCGGGAAATTAAGGGTTACAAGGAGAATTGATTGATTGATTGATCTTCTAATTGAAAATTAAAAAATGGAACAACCTAAAGGGTCGATATCAGAAAGGGAAATATTGAGAGTTCTCCAAAACAAACAATAATTTTGCAATGAAACTTATTAAGGTTTGATTGTGATCCCAACACGAAATCTAATACTTGTAGAATTTTGAATTCCCATGGAACTCGCTTTTCAGATTGAAATAGGTGGGATTTGGATTTGGATTGCCCCCTTTTCAAGCAAATTCTGTATCTCCGCATCAGCAAAATTTGTTACAAAGATAAGCGGTAAATCTCATTTGGGTCCTTAAACTTTAAAAATTTACTCAATTGGGTTTCTTATTTTATAATTTGAGTCAATTAGATCCTTGAGTTCTTTGTCAACAGTTGCTAAATAAAGCCATTGAGATTTTTAATTTAAGAAAAAAAAATGTGTTATTAGGGCATATTAATATTGAGAATTTGACTCGCGTTGTTGTTCTCAGATGACCTTATTTGAGCCATAAAAGCACAATCATGTAAAAATTCCTGACATTCAGTGTTATGGTGCTCAATCATGTACTAGATTGAAGATTTAACTGACTCAAATTAAGAGTTTAGAGGTTTTAATTGATCCAAATTAAAGTATGAGGACTCAATGAAAGTCCACCGATCTTTTTCCCTTAAACGACGTCGTTTTTACCAATACTGTTATGCGTTCGCAAAATGGTCTTATTGGGTGGGCTGGGTTGGGCTGGGCTTTTTAGGTGACTCGCTACTTCTGAGTGTGTTAGGAAATAATACATAGGCATTGATAGGGAATTATAAATTTCAATTTTTTTTTTATTTTTATTTTTATTTTTTTTGTTCAGTGGGGGATTTTTTGCCCTCTGAGAAATTGCATTTTTGAGAATAGAACTTTGTAGCTTGAGATTGTTTACCAACTCAGCGAATCTCAGCCAATCTTAAATCTTGATGGTTATAAATTTCTCCAAAGCAAGGGTTACTGTCCTTTGCTTCTGTCCCTTCTTCTCTTGCATTCTCACAATTAAATTACACTCAAACCAAAAGAGAAGAAATAAAAATGGAAAAAGGAAAGGCAATCGTTGAAGCCGACACTCTCTTCCAAAACATGAACTTGATTTTTCACTTTTAAATTCTTATAAATTTAATTCTTACAAAAGTACGTATTCAAGAATCCTGAAATGTCTACTCTTAATTTATTTAGCTCAATTACTTTGAAATTGCAGTAGTCAGTTCTTCTTCATCAACACAGAAGCAGGTAGAGAAGAAGGGTCTTCAAGCTTCAAGAAAAGATAGCTTCCTTGTGGCTAAAGAACGAAGGTCTAGGTTCTAGTTCTTGAGCAAGTGCATTCAATAATGTTAATATGTTGGCAGACATACGGCAAACATTGATTAAATAACTAATTAACTACCATGCATGTTATTTCTGCGATTCTTTAATTCCTAACATTAATTGAAGGTTTTATACACATGATCAACATCAAGTGAACATGTACTCTCTCTCTCTCTCTCTCTCTCTCTCTCTCTCTTTTGGAGTAGAAAGAATGGCGTTGGTGGTGCAGATCAGTGATCACGTGAAAACATATTTGATAATAAATCTCAAGGTGGGTGAGTCTATGCTATACATATAATATATTATGATACGATATTATTCAATAAATATTTTGATTTTCTTGTTGTACGTTGTGGATACCAACATTAATTCTCATGGGAAAGCTGAGTGACAGATGATGAGCGTTTTTTGGCTGGACTTGGATGGTTATACAGTTTGGTTTCCTACCTTGTACTCCTTAATTAATTACTTAATTAGCTTCTTTCTTATTCTCTGATGCTTTGAAATGGAAATATAAATGTCCTTAATTGCATCAATATGTGAAAAGATTGAATGCTTGGTTAGTTGAATAAAGTTTGCGACCAAAGTTTGTTTCTTAGAAAATCAGCGAAAGCTATTATAGTAGCTAAGCTAGAAATTAAGTGTACCGACCACGAAGACTTGATTCCTTTGCTTTGCTATATTTTTTGAATTTCAAATAAATGTTGGTGGAACCATACCAAGAAGCTCATAAATACAAATTGAAAGCTCAAGGGATCTCATCAGTCTAGCTTTTTCCATTGTCTCTAAGCTTTAAATTTAATATACCCACCTCTTTTTTGTTGTTGGGTTGGTGGCAAATTCAATGCTATAACTTGTTCTTCTATACCCTAAACATCCCATCCCATTTTCCCTTCTCAACTTCTCTCATTAAATAATGCTCGCTAGCTAGCTCATCTCTTCAACAAAACACAATATCCCATCTTTCTCTGCTTCTTTTCTTGATACGTTCTCTCCAATCTCTATCTATAAATAGCTAGCTCCTCTCAATTTTCTTTGACAGTTAATGGGTTTTCTTTTCTTTGTAGTATATACATGCACCTGCATATGTAAGTTTCTTGGTGACTGAAGTTCAAGAAAACGAGATATTGGTGCGGTTCAATCAGAGAGCAGTGCTCTACTTATAGAGCTTTTGTTGTTTGATTGAGCCGTGCCAATATCACGTATTAGCTAGTGTTTATTTATAAATAACAAGTCACTCTGTTTCTGTGTTAGCAATAGCATTCCAATATCACATGTCTGTCCCTGCTTCTAATCACCAAGCATTTTGTACATATTGCCTGTTTAAAGAATGGTTCTGCTGGTTTCTCTTTTTCTGAGGTGGCTTTTCTTGTACCCAGTTTCAGAATTTGAAATTATGAAATCATAATCATTCTCTGTTTTTCTAGCAAGCCTGATTATGTATTATCGAGATGCCAATTTGATTATCATACATTTAGTTATTTACACGTATAGCATGAAGCTGGTAATTTCTTTTTCTTGTCTTACATACACAAAATGTAGATTTATGCATTTGAATGTTTTTAGCACGATGGATTCAATTACGTTCTTATGTACAGATATATTAATTTAAACTATACTTTCTTGAAATATATAATTTTGTTTATTAAAAATTGTATTTTGTGATTTTTTTTTTCAAATTAATTAATCAAGTGCCATCAATCTCATATTTTGTCATGTTTGGTGAGAAATTTCAGATTCGGTAGGCAAGTGAGAGCTGGAAAATCAATTATCCCAATTAGTTTCTTTGACATAAATTATAAATACATTATTATAGAAATAAATGTGTTGAGTAATTTTTTTTTTCTTGGTCTGAAAAAGACTTTAAAAGAAAAAGAAAAGAAGATTGGTGATAGGTGCAGGACTGAGAACAGACATTTAATATTCTGTGCAATTGCTTGTTCCATTGTTGACAAAGTGACATGAGAGTAGGTAATTAGATTCTACTGTCTTTTTACTTTCTCTATTTAAAGCTCTTTTAATATTTATATCAAAGTTTCAAACACGTCGTTTTAACACTGTCTGTTCTGGTTGCTTCATTAGAATCGCTATAAGATAGCTCCACACCCTTTTTTTAAAACCTGTTCTCCACCAAAACTACACCCCATCTATACAGAATGAAGCTCAAACAATAATTAAGCATGAAAAGTTGGTTCCAATCAACAGTTAAGACAATCATGATACAACAGGAAAAAGAAAAGATGGAAAGCTTTATGCATACTGTAATCATTTAGGAAGCAAAAGGCAGAAAAAAAAAAGGCTACCCTTATATGTTATTTTACAACTTTATTATGTTTCTCAGTGGGCATTGGTATAGAACTAACAATTCTGCCCTCCAACCGTTCAAAGAATGAGTTTTATTCTTTCTTACTGCTATCTGGGGTTGGTCTCCTTGGCCTAAATGGGGAGGACCCCAAGCAACGAAGCTCTCTTCTTTTTTTCTTTCGTTTTGCTGTATGATTCTGTAGTTTAGTGTTAAGATAAATTCTCCCGCGCCATCTATGAGTTTCCATATGTATCAGAATGGCCGCTATATGCTGATTTTTCTGAATTACCATCCTTCCTGAATTTGGAAGAAAGGGAACTTGTCTTTATCAGAACCTCGCAGTCCATAGAGCATTTTCATCTTCACCGCAGCGCTTGTGAACTTCCATGATCCTCTCAACGGACTTGCAAATCCCACTACATTTCCAATCAAATGAAGCAGCACAGATGTTGCCTAGCTGAGCCTTCCATTCACAATCTACAGGGAGAAATCACATAAATAATTCTGTAAGCAGTGGTTATGGCTACCTCATATTGATGATAGGTGGGAGAGGGGAAAAATGGTACAGATGTGCAGAACCATAGTGTGTGGTTAAAATGCTGTAACATTCCAGCTGACTAAACTTTTGCCAGTTACCAGAAACAGTTGCAATGCTGGGCGGTTTAAACATTTTTGCTTCAGAGTTGTATATAGTTATACCTAATACAAACATGTGAGGCAAATAAGTGCATTTTAGCTTAATCTTTAGCTGCTAATATGTATGTATCCTTTTTGTTCTCATGGTTCAGATGGTCAGCTCACTTGGTATGTTTCATTGTTTATTCTTAAGATTTTATGTTGTAACCCTACACATAGTCCACAAGTCATTGTGCTGTATGGGTTAAGTCAGGCGTCCGACACTCCCCTAATCTTCAATCTTAATTCCCCACAGGCTATCGTGGTGTTCCCCTTATTTTGAGGCTTACATGCCACAATTAACAAGCATGTATTTACATCAAACCTCTGGTGATTGTTCTTTTTCCAAAAAAATTTATAAAATTAAAAAAAAAAAGAGACATCAAAAGTTCTCTTATTTTACCTGCACTAAAACAAAATAATCATTCGCATGAAAAAATTATGATGAAATATGTGAATCAGCATCATTTTAAATTTTTTACCTGGCGGTGTACCACAACAAAGTCTTCTATCATCCACATGCTCCACGTCTAAACCAATAAACCAGGATCCAAGTGAAACATCTTCATTCGCATATTTGTGCAGCACACGCCTGAGATCATAAAAAGGCAACAGTACAAAGATAATCAAAGTGCATTTGCAATTCTATGGACTCATTTAATCAATCACAAGGGGCTTGAACCACTAAAAGATATCAGATAATTGGGAACTTACTGGTTTATTGATATGTAAGTTGCCAAATCCTTCGATATGGCATAAAGTTGTCCTGTAGCATGGCGGAAATACTTGTTTCCGACCTCTCCAAATTTCCAATACTCCGGTTCATGATATCTTACTCCTCTATTTCATGAAAAAGTTAGAATTTGTACCTACAGACTATGCCAAATAAACAAGCATAGTAATTCAATTTACCTTCTAGCAAGTACGGGACCTGACTTCATGCAGCCAATATAAACCCGTGGCTTTGTACGATGTCCAACTAGAGCCATCCCAAGGGTTGCTACAAAGATTTTCCAGCAGATGCATTCAGTAAGACATGTTAAATATCACAACAAAGACACATGCACATGCAAACAGACACGGCAAAAAATATCAAAGATTGTTACATATTCTGTTCCCTCTGCCCCCTTACTATTACCGTTCAGTAATTTATTCATATTTTTGTGATAAACCTTTTACAATGATAACCATCTCATCCACCGGGAGTTTGTACAGAGCATCACATTCAAGTTTCAGTATGCAATACAATATTTGAAATAAACAATCATTGGCAAAGTAATTGTGCTACATTATACATGGAGGGAACCAAAGGTTAGATTGTTAATTTTCCAATTAATCAATGTAGGCTAAACTCTAAAGCAATTGGTTGATTATTCTTTTTATAATTTGAGAAATAAGAGAGGAGTTTGAAGCTTTTGCTTGATTATTGCTTCAAACACGTTAGGTTTAAATATACCAAGGATTAATACAAATATGGTAATTAGATCCTAGCTATAACTATATAGGATATTTCTACAATAATTACAAAATATTCTCACATATCTACAGTATATTCTAACATAATTCACTGCCAATTGCTATGCTAAATTCTTAAAACGCTATTTATACCTACATGTAATAATTCGAGCTAAACTACCTGAAACTGCATCATTATGGTCTTCCATTGACGCATGATAGGTTTTATGAGGTTAAAATACGCGTGGCAAAACTAGAGGGTTATTCAGTAAATCATAGCATGTCTCTTTCAGGGCAGACAGAAGTTTCAGAATTCATTGTACCTAAATTCACATCAACTTCACCAGCAATTCATTTTACCTAAATTCACATGAACGTCGTCATCAACTTTGACATAAAACTCTGCATCCCATAAATTAAGAGCAGTAGTAAAGTAAGTCTTTGTCTTAGCTGATAACTCCAGGTAGCCCTCAACGTGATCCTGCTTCCACAGAAGGAAAAATAACAAGAGAACTATTAAAAATTTCTATAAGCGTATTTTTCAAATCAATCAAAATATCAAGATAAATATGAGTATCATGTAGTTAATCAAATAAAATAGCAATAAAAGGACAAGACAAGAGTATCACCAGCCTCAGAAAATCTCCATGCGCCATTTCTTCTGCTTCAATAGCTTTGTCAAGAATGCCACCAGTTGTTGAACTGAAGACAAAAGGCTTTTTTTTATTAATTAATACTTTATTTGAAACCCAATCTATGGCCATATAATCTAAAAAATCAAGCATGAATATGTCATAAATTTTCAATCAAAGAGACAATATATCAATGCAAATCCAGCAGAAAATTTCATTGAGATCCTATCCACCACAAGATTTCATTCAGCCCCTAGTTGGACATAGACTCCATTGGAACTCGAGGAAATTCGATAAGATGCAGTTCCCCAACAATAATGTATTTCATACTTGAATTACATCATAATCAAATTTGATCACATTGGCCATGGACTTTTCCCCCTTTACTGTTTATGTGTCCATGCGTAGCTCTGGCTGGTGTCCGAAGTAGTAAGTCAAACAATTCGCAATAAAGCCTGTGCTGTATTATTCAAGCTATGTGATACACAAAATTCTAAGATGCGAGAAAAATGCTACACTTAAATATATTAACTGCTTTTGTGGCTTAGATGTACTACCTTCCTATAAAGTTGACCAATAATAGCAGCTAAATCAAACTTGTTGAAGAATTTTGCTTGGAACACAGCTTGTTGTGGTGTGTAGGTTGGTAATGGGATCAAGGTGTACTACTTACTCTAGAACATGTCAGAGTAAATATCTTCACTTGAAGTATGACAAGAAGTTAGCCTAGTCCACTTTTCTGATAGGTTTTTATTCTTATCACGCTTGACTGACCGACTGTCTAGAGTAACTTTTGAACAACACATTATATAAGAAGTGAATTTCATTCCCAAATAATCACTATTAACATGATGTTTTCCCAAATTCATCATTGCTTCAGTTAATATGAAATGTTCAGACTTGCAATACTATGAAGTATAGTCATTTAGATGATTCTTAGTAAATCAGTTAAGCACCCCCCCCCCCCCCTCTTTGAAACAACCCCATTATATAGGAGAAATGTGAATATTATCAATTCCCAAATAATCACTATTAACAATATTGTTTTTCCCAAATTCATATCATTGCTATTCACAGTAAAAATATGAAATGTTCAGACTTGCAATAACTATGAAGTATAAGTCATATTAGAAATAGGAGTCTCTTTAGAAATAATTAAGCACAGCGCCCCCCCCCCAAAAATAAAAAGAACAAAAAAAACAAAAAAAAAAACAAGTACATCAAGCCATTGCAAGAGTGAGAAAATTCTCACCTGTGGGACATATGGTAAAGCGAATGGATTATACCTTCTCTTTCTCCTCAACTCTTTTTTCTCACCTTGTGGCATCCCAAGTTGGCCACGACTTGAATCTCTTACGCTTTCCGGAGCTGCTAAAAAGGCTGTGCTTCGATTCCTAAAAAAAAAAAAAAAAAAAAAAACAAAAAAAAAACAAGTACATCAACCATGCAAGAGTGAGAAAATCTCACCTGTGACCTATGGTAAAGCGAATGATTATACCCTTCTCTTTCTCCAACTTCTTTCTTTTCTCACCTTGTGGCATCCAAGTTGCACGAACTGAATCTCTTCGCTTCCGACTGCTAAAAGCTGTGTTGATTCCTATTACCATAAAATATTTTCTTTTTGAGTTGCCCGATGGATGGGAGCCATTTGACAAAGATTGATGCTCTGCCTTAGCAGCTGCCAATTTCATCTCTAAAGTTGAAATCCTATTATCTAGTGCCCTGCTTCCACACACAATAATAAGGTTCCTGTTTAGATCATTAGGACCTCATGTATGTGAAATATAGACAACAAGCATCAGTGAAGCTTACTGGATCTCATATTGGGTCTTTGAAACTTGCCTTAGACTGTTGTTGTATTTATGATTTGCAACCTTCTGATATAGGCAAAGAATTTAGCAGAAAGGATGTAAGCTACACTCCACAGGAGTATAATATCAGATCAAAGCTCTCTCTTATTATAAGGTAGTTAAGGCAAGCTTTAGAAGGAAAAAAGAGCTTCAAGAAGCCAATAGACTAAAATTGCAGCCTATTCTGAGACAAATGTCAGCACCACAGTCCCTCCATATATTTTTAAGGCTTAAATAGCAGGAAGACAGATACTTACAAGCTTCAGATCACAATTCCCAGATTCTAAGTTCAATCGTTCTGGCACTGTCCACATCCTGATAAAAGATTACGTGAATAATGGCATCAGCACGCTAAAAGCAATCACTTCGACATGCATTAAAGAATTACAAGCCCTTAAAAACTAATTATCAGTAAATGAAAAAAATTCTTAAAAATAGTTAATAAACTTGCGAGCAATTGGGACAAACAATAGTGGAACATTGAATTAGGTGGCTGAAAGCGACAGAGAAGCAATTGTATATCAAACCAGCTCTATGACATTAGATAACATTTAGAGTTAAGAAACTATGGAAAGAACAAGCAAGTACATGCTTTTCGTCAACTGAAATTTTAGTTATTAAAAAAATGGAAAGAGAATTTGCAAGTTATTTCCCTTTCTCTCGCACAGTTTTTCAACAACCAAAACAAAAAGGAAAGTGAATAGTCAAATTGAGAAAAAGAAGTACTTTTTCTGAAAATGGATTTCATTTCGACCAAAGGCAACGGCTTTTGAACTCTCAGAACAAATTCATATATTGTACACCATAGAATACACCTATAGCTTCTGTTCCCAAAGTTTGAATAGTGTCGGTGGAGATGCAAAACAGACAATTTGTTCTAAGGCCGCCATTTAACTCCGAAGTATCCCAATTGATTAAAGAAGATGAAAACAGACAATTTGTTCTAAGGCATTCATGTTATGGTTGATCGTGGAATTTGGGATCAAACAGACCAACAATATGATTCAGGTTAAAATTTGACGAAATGACTTAAACAAACGCATGACATTAAACTTACTCAGTTCACCCATCAAAACCCAACTAAAACACAACACCAAAAAGATCTCTTTGAAAACGCATCCATTTGAAAGGATTATTAATTGATACCCAGTTGACTTAAACGCATCATAGCCAGTACAATTAATGAAATAACTAAAAAAGCGTGCAAATTTCAAGAAACCCAATAATTAAAGTACCTGTTAGTGAAGAACATTCCAGCCAAAAAGCTACCAAGGCAAAGGAAAAATGCCAAGTTCCTCGGCATAAAATTTCTAGTAGCAATCTCTCCTCCTACTCTACTCTTCATTGACATTTTTATTCACTTGGCTTTCAATAAAAATTTAAATAATAAAAATTAATAAAAAAATCAACAGGACAGAAACTAATCGAACAAACCCAGAACTAGAATCATTACTGTTCTGGAACAAGTGCAAATATACAATGTGTCTGTTTAAGACATACCCTCCCTCTCCCTCTAGAAGGAGCACAAGAAGAAGAGAGAGAGAGAGAGAGGTGCATAGGGAAAAGACTCACTAACCAACTGCCAATCTTAATATCCCAAAATTACATAACCGACCTTACTGACAAACGTTCCTCAATCCCCACTATGAATGTAACAGTTTTATGTTAAAGACTAGTTAACTACTAAAAGTAACAGTAACAGTTCCATGGCTGGCAGTGGGTCGGATCAGAATTGTTGGTTTCTCTTATTTTATTTATTTCTCGATACATATTTTTCAGTGGGTTTCTCATCTTATTGGTGAGTAGGTGGGTCTGGCCCAGTATTGGTAACCTAAAGAAAGACATCGACTTTTGTTGGGTTTAAGAGTAAAAAGAGAAAAGGGAAAAATCCTATGCTATTTATGACTGTAATGATACTTTGTTTTGGTTGCAGTATCATAGATCAGTTTCTTTATAGTCATTTCTAATTTTGAGAGTTAATTTCTCATTCTTAAATCTTAATCAATCCTGAAAACTCCTATTTAACGAGAGAGGGCAGTTTTACTCCCTTGGTTGATTAATACTTATGAAAAGGGAAGCCAAAGTGTGTAGCTTTATATTATATGCTGATTTGGGCCAACTGCCCTTCTGTGAATGTGGCCTGATATTCCCAAGAAGAAAAAATAAAATTGATGATCAAGATCAGATGATAGGATCAGAAGTCCTCAGAGATTTAGTAAATCTAATTACAATGAACATGGCCTTTCAAGTTTCAACTACTGGAAATAATAGAATTAAAAACTAAACTTAAACGGTAATAAATACCTAAGAAATTCACTCGTAGAAACTAGTTTACTAAATTCCTCCAGATCGAGAAACTAGGAAAAAGAAATCATTTTCATTGACACTGTTAAGTTAACCTGTGAGATGCTGACAATTTTAGTTACGGACACAGTACAGATTACAATAATGGAGAAGTGGAAGGAGTCGCTGCGATTTGTTTGTTTGTTTGTTAGTGCCTATAGTAAAAGGTTACACTTACAAAAACAGCAAGGAAAAAAAAAAAAAAAAGGCAAAAGAAGTAACAAGCATTTGTGCTTGTCTCAAGTGCATAGTTAGCTGTAAAAGTGAAATATCATGACTACCTTTAACAATGGGCTCATCATGTCCTATACAGGAGCCACAAAGGTGGCACACAACCCTCCACCTTTTCCATCAAAGATAAGAAGAGGCATTGCAGCTATGTAATTGTACTTGTATCTACTTTTAACAATAGCTTATGCTAGCAGTGTGCTCTCTTTTTCGCCATATGGATGTAAAGAAGATAAATATAATCTCAAAAGGGCCCAATTGACTGTATCTTATAAAACTGAACCATTTCTTGATGGCAAAAACCAAAAAGGAGGCATGAAGTGTGGTCCTTATGCTCTCAACATGTTAAAGTTAGAGATGGAAATTTTTTTCTTCAAACAAAAATTTTCAATCCATATTCTTGTCGGCGGAAGGGTTGCGAGATCTTAGAATTTTAGGTGTTGTAGATATATGTAGATATTAGATACCAGTTTTCCTACATACGTAGCCAAGAATCTGTCCAAGAACCAAGAACAAGAAGAGGGACGATTCTTTATTGTACTTGTGGCCCTTGTTTTGCTTGGAAGAGTTTTTTGTTGATGGATTTTTGAAATCTTGTTGATTGAGACATTGCAAAGTCAAGAAACTATACAGCTTTCAAGAATCTGTTAGACGTTGCATTCACATGCCAAGAGGAATAAATTAATTACTAGTTGAGCTGGAATAAGCTCAACTAGTAATTAACCAATTTTCATGGAGGCCTTATATGAACCAGAAGGTTCCAGATCAAGGAAAGATGACAAAAAAGCATGTGCTTGTTGCAAGCTTGACATGGGAATTTTTATATTAGACCTTCTCTAGTAACGGAAAACAAGCAGCATAAACAATGCAAATTAATCTCTTAATGTGATCTAGTTGCTTAAAAGGGTGTAGGATAATAAAAATTGAAAACTGAAAAGACAGTGACGAGAGTTCACAAGGTGGGTATAAGCACCTGTTCAAATTAAAAACCGAAAAGAAATAAATTTTAAATAATAAAAAAGCAAAGCAGCCAAAGGCAGGTAGGAGGAAGATATGAACATGAAGATTAACCAAACCCTTTTCATATATCCCGTTACAGGTGGACCACGATTACTCAAAACGCATTCTACCAGGCTACAAGACAAAATTTCAGAGACTGCCTCTTTTTTTTTTTTTTTTTCCCTTCCTAATAAAAACAATTGCAAATTAATTTTCTTATGTGATCCTACGTTGCTTCAAAAGGGTGTCGAAAGGATATTAATAAAAATTGAAAAACTGAAAGACAGTGACGAGGAGTTCACAAGGTGGGTAATAAGTCACCTGTTTCAAATGAAAAAACCGAAACGAAATAAATTTAAATAATAAAAAAGCAAGCAGCCAAAGGTCTAGGTAGGTTAAGGAAAGAATATCGAACATGGAGAATTTAACGCAAAGCCCTTTTCATATATCCCGTGTGACAGCGGTGTGACCACCGAATTCACTCAAGAAGCGCATTCCTATGATACCACGGTCCTACAAGACAGAAATTTTCCCGAGAACCTGCCCAATACTTTTTTTTTTTCGTCTTCTTCCTACACAAAAATGGGCAATTCTGACTTGTACTTCCTCTCTACTACCAGTGACAGGATTAATATCAGCAACAATAATTAATAAAATACAAAGAAGAGGGATTGACATGGGACCCTTATAAGGCAACGGTAAATAATAATCGGTGATCATGTTCATAACTTGGATGGATTAAGATTAGGAGACTAAAATTACTCTAGAAAACCTGTTTTTCTTTTTTTTTTTTTTTGTTCTCTTCCTACACAAAAAGGGCAATTCTGACTTGTACTCACTCTACTACAGTACATAATATCAGCAACAATAATTAATAAAAACAAAGAAGAGATTACATGGGACCCTTATAAGGCAACGGTAAAAATAACGGTGATCATTTCATAACTTGGATGGATTAAGATTAGGAGACTAAAATTACTCTAGAAAACCTGTTTTTGTCAAAATGGCATTCCTCACTTTGCTAAGATCTCTACCTTTGAGCGTCCTTCCAATCCCTTCACATACAGAGAAAGAAGAAATCTGACTTCTTGCAAGCTTCTTAGCTATCCACTCATGTGGAGGGACCATTCCTTCTCCGTCATCATTCTCATTATCAGCATCATTATAAGGTCCATTAACAGGGTCATGGTCTGTCCTGTCCTCAGCCCAGGAGCCCATTTTTGTTGTTTTACCATAAATCTTTGACCAATCAGGGATTTTAACAGGAGCTGATGATTGTTCAACTGCCTGGGCTTCATGGAGGATGGTCGCTTCGGCTGCTGGAATCATTCTTGGAGCAGCATGGACGCGCCATGAAGAAGAAGAAGAAGAAGCAGAGGAGTAGTAGTCTTTGGACTTCCTCATTTTGGGATTTGAATCTTCTCTCTCCTTCATAACTGACCATATATCTTCTTCTTCAAAATCTTCATCTCTCAATGATCTCCTGCTAAAATCACCAGAACTGGCGTTCCCCATGATAACTTTCCACTCTGCCATTACTAGTTTGCTAAAAATGAAAAGTTAATTGAGATATGAGCAGAGCAGCAGGAACTGAAGATTTGAGCAACAGCAGAGTCACTCCTTACCGTATAAATAGATGGGACAAGTAAAAGGAGGCATTTTAAGTAAAAAAATTAAAAGTACTTTTTTTTACAACTCTTTCTCTTTGATGATACTCTATTACTGAGTGAATATATATATTGGGAATCAGAAAGAGTGAAGGTGTAAGAGAATAATATTAAGAATCTACTTGGCCTTGTTTCAATAGCCTCCAAAAGAAGCATATATAGCTTTTCAAAGATTATATCTGTAGCGGGTTTGAGTTGGGTTGGGGTTGGGGTGGAGGTCGAGGTTGCTTAGTATTAAAACAAACACTCAACAAGGACAAAAGAAGAGAAGACGTGAAGGACCCCCAAGAATAGCTCCAAAGAAAGTCACAGATTTCAAGGGCCTTAAAATGGTACACTGCAAAAACTGAGAAGAAAAAGACAACAAAAAATGGGGTTCTTAAATTTTAATGGCCTAATCAAACCAAACCCTGATATGGAAAAATAAAAGCAAGAGAAAGGCGATAAAAAGAGAGAGAATGGGCTTTCATTAGAATCTCAGTTGCCACAGTCTGTCTATTTTATCCTCTTACCTGGAAATGGTCACTGTCTAGGTGGCCTCAGTGCAAAAAATCCAGACGCCCACAGAAAGAAGTTGGGTTTTGGGAGGCAAAATGAGACGCATTTAGCAATCCCAGAAACACAAGTCATTCAGAGCATATTTACCACCTGTAGAAAAACCCACTTACAGCTTGATATGAGGTATGAATGCATATATATATATATATATATATATATTGCAACTTTATACAAATACAAAACAGGGGAATTTGATATTTTTGTTTGACAATATTAATATCGTTTATATGGTATGAGCACTCAAAAAGTCTGGCTTTGATCGAGAAAGGTGGTGAAAAGTGATTGGTTAGAGCAGCCTCACAAATTTCAGTAAACCTTATCCACAACCCAGTACAACTCACTCACATCTCCTTAGGCAGTCATGACCAGAGGAAAAAAGGCTCACTCAAAGATTAATGCCTCGGAGAATGAGTTTTAAAGGAGAAGAGTTATTGCATTGAGATATGTGGATAAGTATTAACCAGCACTACTACTTCTGTTCTGCAATGCTTTTCCTGGGTTTTGGGGATCGCAGAACAGAAGAAAGAGAAAAAAAGAAGGTCATTATTTGTTTGTTTGTTAGTTTTTGTTGTTTATGTTTATGGAGGCAATTATAGGTCAGGGGCGGGAGGGTAAGGTAAGGTGAGGTTACTTCTCAGCCCACATCAGGAGAACATGTTGGACAGTGAATTGTTAAGACAAATCTGTAGGTCAACGCTATGTTGGTTTCATAATTACATGCATAATAATGATTTTAGGTCATCATATCCTAAATCTCGCTGCCATATTTGGCATACTTAAGACTTTAAACCTCAGTAATCTTTTTTCCTATGACTAGTCTGACTATAGTAAGTGAGAGCCTAGTACCACATAAACACAGCATGCTTAAGATGATAATTAAATGCAACGTAGTGATGGGACTAATCAACTTTATTTATTATACTAATAATATTTGATTATTGTTTGTTGGTTTAGTTCTTTTTCTTTTTTCTTTTTTTTTTTTTTTTAAATCCCATTATAGGCGTATGCTAGTCCATTTCAATTATGTTTATTTAATTATATGATTGTTTTTGTATACAATTTTAATTTGCAAAAATGAAAAATTGTTCACGGCCACAACGTGAAATTCTGACCACTAAACTACAGCCACATTTGCTTTCACTTCTGATAAACATCGTTAATATGTTAAAGTTTCTAATCATGTCCATTAACTGTATGGTTATACTTTCTTCCCATTTTTGGTTACCAGAATTAAGTTGCATTTGTATGTTTGAATGAAATCCTACTAAGAGAGAGAAAAAAAAAAATCAACTTATCAAAAACCTTTTTAATCATTAGACAGAAGAAGCAATTTCTACCATCCAAGAAGGGGATGATCTGCTTGATAAGATAATCACACCTTAAACTCCTTTCATTGCCTGTTTTCTCTTGGAATGATTAGTGGGGTCTTAAAAGGCCAACCAAAAGAAAATTACCACGCCAGAATTAGTCATAAAACTATAATTCCCACAAAAGTCTAAAATATGCAACTTTGGTGGCTAATAAGGCAAGACCTTTTGCAGGATGAAGTCACAAATTATAAAACTAAATGCAAGTGGAAGCATCAACTTTGCCGCATCATATTCCATTAGAAAGCATTTTCAAAGTGAAATGAAAAAGTACACAAGCCTTTCAGGGATTCTTCGATGTGTCAATTACCTTGTCATTTAGCAATGTGTTCTCAATACAACTGGAATGGTATGAAGACTAGATCAACTATTGTAACAAAATTCAAAATTTTCTGTGCTTTTGTACATTTTTTGCACAAACAAAACAAAAATGGATGAGCAATTACATGCTTTGAATCTGATGTCACCTTGCATCGTTTCAAATGGGCAATTTATGTACAAGTAATCAACCTATTGGACGACAAAAGTTGAATTCGGCACTGAACCTATACAGAAGATGGGGAAACATTCAACTGCGTATCAAGCTCTGGACTCAAGTAATCTGGTATTTTCACTTGAGTGCCGCATGGTAAAGCTCCATGTAATCAAGAGCAGGCTTATTCCAAGACCAGTCTTGCTCCATCACAGTTTTACATAATGAATTAAACCACTCCCTACCATCATACCAAGCAGAGATTGCCCTGAAAATTTCATTGGAAAATAGATATTACCTGGTAGAAACACAATACGGACATAATATGCCGAAAAACAATAAAGACATAAATAGATAAGAGAAAACCACCAGGAAGCAGGGATAATTACCCAAAATGTCTAAACACTTGGCAAGCTTAACTAACCTAACAAATAACTTCAAATATATTTGGCAATGTTCCCTCCCAAAATTTGAACAAAGATTCATGACACTTGCTCTTTATATTGAAGAAAAACAAAGATAGAACTTTTGTCAAAAAGAATAGTAAATTGTTTTATTGGGCTAATTGCGGTATAGGACTCCTCAGTAGATCATATTCAAAGTCAAGTTAAAAGGAGAACTAGTG